AGAGCCAGCCTTATAGTCAGAAAGACCCAGTTTTGAGTCCCAACCTGAGTTTATTATCTCTTCTGCCCCTAAAATATACTGACTATGAGATCCTGGGCAAGTAACTTAACTTTCCAGTCTCCAAGGCAACTCTCTGAGGATATGTTTCAGAGTAGTTGCCACTGTTTTGGTAATTACTTCTCCCAGAGTTCCCAGCATCATAAAGATATATAGACATACTGTAATTTAAAGTGTAGTGAAAGCAATACTGGATAAGGTATTTCAGAGTTGGAAGGCCTTGGTGGGCATCTAGTCTAATCCATACCAGAAAAATAATCTCTTCTATGTTGTACCTGGCAAGTAATGATCTTTGTTGTATTCAGTTCTATCTGACTCTTTGTGACCCCATTTGGGGTTTTCTTGGCAAAGATACTGGAGTGGTTTGCCATTTCCTTCTCCAGCTCATTTTACAGATGAAGAAACTGAGGCAGACAGGGTTAAGTGACTTGCCCAGAGTCACAAAGTAAGTGTCCGAGGCAAGATTTGAACTCAGGAAGATGAGTTTTCTCAATTCTAAGCCCCAGTGCTGTATCCACTGTGCCACCTAGCTGCCCCAGCTAGTTATCTAGGCTTTGCCAAAAGACCTTCAGTAATGGTGGTCCCACCTCAATTGGGGCTATTTTTTAATACTGGCCCATATTCTTCTCCAATATAAACTTCTGAGATTTGTCCTTACACACAAGACCCTTGGGTGCAAGTTGAATCCAAATCTCAATTACTGGCCTGAAGTTTTTAGTTTTTAGTTTTTTTTCCATTTTGTTAATTAATTAATTTTTAGTTTTCAACAATCACTTCCATAAGCTTTTGAGTTTTAAATTTTTATCCCTACCTCTCTCCCCACCTCCCTCCCTTAGACAGTGAGCAATCTGATATAGGCTCTACATATACATTCCTATTAAACATTTTCACATTAGTCATGTTGTAAGGAATAATTAGAACCAATAGGAGTAATCATAAAAAAGAGGAAACAAAACAAAACAGAAGAAAAAAAAGAGCAAATAGTACGCTTCAATCTGCATTCAAACTCCATAGTTCTTTCTCTGGATTTTCTAACATGAGACTTCTGGAGATGTCTTAGATCCTTGCATTGCTGAGAAGAGTTAAATTGATCAAAGTTAGTCATCACACAGTATGGCTGTTACTGTGTATAATGTTTTCCTGGTTCTGCCCACTTCACTCAGCATCAGTCCATACAAGTCTTTCCAGGTTTTTCTGAAGTCTGCTTGCTCATCATTTCATATAGCACAATAGTATTCCATTACATTCATATGCCACAACTTGTTCAGCCATTCCCCAATTGATGAGCATTCCCTCAATTTCCAATTCTTTGCTACCACAGAAAGAGCTGTGTATTTTTGTACATGTGGGTCCTTCTCCCATTTTTATGATCTCTTTGGGATACAGACCTAGGAGGAGTATTGCTGGGTGAAAAGGTATGCACAATTTTATAGTCCTTTGGGCATAGTTCCAAATTGCTCTCCAGAATGGTTGGATTACTTTACAACTCCACCAACAATGCATTAGTGTTCCAATTTTCCCACATCTTCTCCAACATTTATCATTTTTTTTGTTTTGTCATGTTGGTCAATCTTATAAGGCCTAAAGTTTTTAAAGTAATGAGGCCAAGATCTAGTCACCTGTCATTAGGAAGTGCCTTGTCCATGTATGTACATATAGCACTTAGAAATATTGCAGGGCCATCTCCAGTCGTCCTGATCTATATCTCGCCACTGGACCCAGATGACTCTGGAGGAGAAAGTGAGGCTGGTGACCCTCTCTCACTCAAATCAAAGTCAGTTGCAAGTCATGTCATCGACTCACTGATGTCATGATCCTCTTCGAGAACAAAGGACAAACACAACAACTTAGAAATGTTACCTGGGTCTGGAAATTTACCTGCCACTAGGACAGACCAGACTATTGTGGTTGAGGCAAACCACATAAGTATTATGAAAAACAGAACTGCGTTTTCAGGAAATGCTACTAGTAACAACTGACTTTGAAGAGTTTTACCAAAACAGTGGCAACTACTCTGAAACATCCTCAGAGAGTTGCCTTGGGGGCTAGAAAGTTAAGTGACTTGCCCAGGATCTCACAGTCAGTATATGTCGGGGTAGAAGAGATAATGAACTCAGGTTGGGACTCAAAACTGGGTCTTTCTGACTCTGAGGCTGGCTCTCTATCTGCTACAACTGAGTTTGGAGAGTATTTGACATCTTTATCTCATTTGAGCTTCATGGCAACTCTGCGAAGTAGTTACTAATAAGTATTATTATGCCCATTTTACAGATGAGTAAACTGAGGCCAGGAGTGGGTAAATGTCTTGTCCATAGTCACATAGCTAGTAAATGTCTGAGGACAGATTTGAACTTGCGTCTTCTTGATTCAAGGCCGAGTACTCTTATCCACTGTGCCACTTAGTTGCTTCTGGGTCACAAGGTCACAGGAGTGGAAGCTTGAGTTCTGGTTGGACGTGGAAAATGAATAACCTGAAAGCTATCCATAGCCTTTTGAGAAACAATAAAAGCTATTTTATCCCCAAAGTGAAAAAAAAATGAAGAGAATTTGGTCTCTTGAAGAGTCATTTCATTTAAATTACTCACGCTACACTGCCCAATGTAGGCTACATTAGAAAACCAAGCTGACTTTCACTTGATGACTTCTTACAGTCTTCCATTGGGAAAAAAATGTTCATTGAGTAATAAAATGGGATCATGTCTGTGGTGATGCCTGCCGTATTTGGGGGGACAAAAGGAATGCCAGAATTTGATCTACAGTTGGGTTTGATTTCCAGGTTCCAGTAGGACATCTTAGGCATTGCAGGCAGGTTCCAGTTTTCTATAAGGAAGCTTCAGATAGAGGCTTTTTGTCAGCCAACAACTTATCTTCACTGTGACTGACTAGATATGGGATACTTCTGGCTCTCCCTTGTACCCCTTCTTCTGGCTAGTTCTAATTTGTCTCTCAGAGATGCCCAAACTTAGAGATATCTCCATTCCAAATGTTCATATGAGCTATTTGTGCCTGAGCTGTGGTAGAGCCTTGTATGCTTGTATTGGTCTGATCAGCCACGGCTGGACACACTGTACCTTGATCCCAACATAGTGACATCATTTTGGGCCTTTTCAAGAATGAAGGACAACAACCACAAATTTGTCTCTCACCTATTCAGCTACAAACTCCGTAACCTTTTCCCATCCCTCATGATCTGGCAGAAAGGATTTGATAAAAATAGTTTTTTATAAGATTTGAGTTTTGAGCTACATAACCTAAAGTGTATGGGTTGTTCAAGGAGGACTAGTATTTTTGGTGTGAGGGCTTGCTGACTCTTTCCACCTTTGGTATCTCCCTGGCACTCAACTCTTACCTATAACTCCAAGGAGTTGTACCATACACAGCAGCCACACCCCGGTAAACCATCTAGGCAAACAGGCTAACCCAGGTAGAGGTTAACTGACAGGCATCAAACCCGTCAGTGAGTTAGGGAGGTGTCAATGGGCAGATGAGAACAATTTATTCCAATGGCCATGAAGGCAACTGAAGCAGGTGCTGTAGAGCGCTTGGAGCTTGGTCAGACATCCAAGATGCCGAGGTCATCCACTGCATTCTAGCCATTGCTAGTCTTGCCGCTGGACTTCCATGACTCTAGAAGAGAGAGTGAGGCTGATGACTTTGTGCAACTCTGTCTCACTTAAATCTAATTCACTTGCAAGTTAAGACATCGCTCATGATATCAATGGTCCTCTTTGAAAACAAAGGACAAACAACAAACTTAGTTTCTGTGCTATGGATCTAGATGCTTAATTTGTTTAGAGGGTTTTTCAGCCAGAGAGAAGGATCCTGATGTACTAAGTATATATAGAGCTGATCTGAAAAATGGTGAAATTCCTTTGGCAAAATTCTGTCTGCTTGATATAGAGATTAATCTATTTGCTGATCATCTATTTGAATATTTAAATCATCCCAGCATCAGAATTTTATGATTATATAGACAACCCAGTCAAGTGGATTTGAGTTTGGAAATGGTTTTTTACCTCCTGGTACTGCTTTAAACTCCATTCATTTTTGGTATAGTCTAAATTCCACCCTCAGCCCTTTTTTACTATTTTTGTTTCAGTCTCTTCAAAACCAAACACTTGGACCTGTTCTTTCACCAAACACTTGGATCTTTCCTTGAATTTCCTTGAATTCATGAAATCTACATTTCTTTCCTGGTATTTCTTCCCTCCAACACAAACTCTGAATGCAAGAGTTCAGACTGCTTACTGGAACTCTTCCGATCTTAATTTGCCTTTACCCCACCCCTAGACATTACCTAGATCTTTTCCTGAAAAGAGTCTGCAGGACAAAGCCCAAAACTGTATCACAAAGACAGACACCACGTTCCAGAATAGTTGAAAGCAAGGTGTGAGTTGCCAGGGTGGTGTGAAGTTGCAGTATTTTTCTAAAGTATTTCCAGACTATTGGCTTTATTCTCTAATCATTCTTGTGATTTTTCTCTTAGTAAAATGAATTTAGGGCAACTAGGTGGCACAGTGGATAGGGTCCTGGGCCTGGAGTCAAGAAGACTCCTCTTCCTGAGTTCTAATCTGGCCTCAGACACTTACTAGCTATGTGACCCTGGGCAAGTCACTTAACCCTGTTTGCCTCATTTTTGTCTTTTGTAAAATGAGCTAGAGAAGGAAATGGTAAACCACTCCAGTATTTCTGCCAAGAAACCCAAATGGGGTCATGGAGAGTTGAACATGACTGAAAAATAACTTAACAACAACAACAACAACAAAAATGAATTCAAGAGAATGGTCATAAAAAATCTGGCAACATTCCTTTAAGGAGACTCTGACTGGGCTCTTAGCTGTAAGCTATGGAAGGTGAACCTGAAGGAAATTAAAACAATCACTGGTATGTATTTTCCCCACAATGAACAGATCACAATTTATTCCTCTTACTTTTATTTACAGAAGACAAATTTGTGTGCAAAACACCAGCCATTGCTGATATTGTGATCCTGGTAGATGGCTCATGGAGCATTGGGAGATTCAACTTCAGACTGGTTCGCCTTTTCTTGGAAAATTTGGTGACGGCTTTCAATGTGGGAGAAAATAAAACTCGAATAGGTAATGTTTATGGTTTTACTGGTATCAGTGACAATAAATTCAATGTAAAATTCTTCAATGTTTAGGCATTATAGATACAGTAAGACCCCTTTCTACAGTGGCTTGTAACATATGCTGCCACTTTTGAATGGGTGGTTGTACCTGGTTGCCTAATATGGCACCTTTACTATAGCACAACTAATGATAGAGGCTTCTTGGTCTCTTTTATTCAATGACTCTTTAAAGAAGTTAAATCATAAGCATTTACAAGATGAAAGGGTGAACATGGAGTCTTACTAAGGCTTGCCCATGTCAATACTTCAGGGATGCTCTCTCCATTGAGATGGATTGCAACCTTTTTAAGTTTTATTAGGTGGTCCTTGGAGGTTCCTGTGGTAGAAAAATAATCACTCTGAAACCAGGTCGGGGATGAACTCCTCCAGATTTAGCTAGACTAGTCTTTACAAAGGCAATCTTTCTATCTTCCCTGCCTGCTATGGCCTTTGAGAAATCTAGGATCAGTTCCAAACCTCAAGGACATTGATGGAGGTGAAATCTGCTTCATTGTATTTAGAATCCATAGGTGCATTCCAAAGGTTAAAAAAACTTTTTTTTTAAGTATAGAATTATAATCATTGAGCATTCAAAACACAGCCCTCTATTTTTTTAAAAGCTTAAAATTATACTGTGTAATAAAAATTAATGGATTTATTCTTTTACAATTATAAAATTATAGTTAGTTGAATAATCAATCCTTCATCATTTGGAGTTAGGGATGGAAAGCCTGTGAGAAATCAAATCCTCCCAAATGTGGAATTAAGAAAATTGGACACAATTTCAGTCCAAGAGAAGTTTTGCCAAATTAAGGCTGGCCAACAAAGACGCCGGAAACCTTTGAACAATGTATTAATTTCATCTTATAACTCATGATTTAACTTCTTTAAAGAGTCATTTAATAAAGTTATTCCTTTGGGAAGTAAAAAGGCAAATTCTAGTCATTTTGTCTGCACATAAATTAAGCAAATCATATCGTCAGTTATGAATTGGTTTCCCATTTTGGCCAGAAAATATAAATTTTCTTAGCAGATGGGTATGGATTGGTTATATAGTTTGATGGGATTCTTTTCTATGAAAAACACATCCAGTTAGTTCTTCAAAGAAATAAATTCCAGAAAACATTTGTTTAGAGGAATCTAGTAACCATAGCTTAGTGACAAGTTCATCTGTTGCCATGGACATCTTCCTGTGTCTTTGTTAGGCCTTGCACAATACAGTGGTGACCCTCGGATAGAATGGCATCTGAATACCTTCAGCACCAAGGATGCGGTGATTGATGCTGTCCGGAATCTCCCATACAAGGGAGGAAACACTTTAACAGGTATTTCTATGTGTGCTGTTCTCAATCTCAGCAGCTCTGCTTCTCCTGATGGTCCTTCCATTTCTCTGTGCTGCTACTTAGTAGAAATCTGTTTAACATGTTTCAACTAATCTATTACTAAAAATACTTGGGTTTCTTCTACCCCAAATATACCATCAGGAGGCAAAGCTGGGAAATTTCTTCCTTCTTCCCAGCAAAAACAAAACAAAACAAAACAAAAAAAACCAAAACACAATTGGAGTCCCAAAGAGACTGCACTAGGCCAGATAAAGATAATATTTTGACTTGCCAATCTCAGGTAGTGTGCTTGAATCTCATACTTTATGCAGTTTATTCATCTTGCCCCAAACTTTAAATTCCTTTAAAAAATTAGTATGGGGGCAGCTAGGTGGCATTGTGGATAGAGCACTGGCTCTGAAGTCAGGAGGACCTGAGTTCAAATCCAGCCGCAGACCAAACACTTGACACTTACTAGCTGTGTGACTCTGGGCAAGTCACTTAACCTCAATTGACTTAAAAAAAAAATAAAGTTAGTATGACACCTCTTTCCCCAGTGAAAAGTAATTGCTGTCACATTTCCAAAGACATAGTCATCACTTTTTATTTTTTTCAGCCAATTCTTTTTTTTTTAATTAATTAATTTATTTTTAGTTTTCAACATTCACTTCTGCAAGTTTTTCAGCCAATTCTTAATGGAAAAATGGTTCTATAGACTGAGGTCAGTGGGAAAAGTAATACAGGAAGTTTTCTTATAACCATTTTTGATGGTAGGTAAATGCTATTTTTTCCATCAAAAGTCAATGCGTAAAATGTGGATGAAAAGAAAATATAAAAGACGCCAAATTCTGAGTAATTATAAGGATCCATCTTTGTCCCAGAGAAAGACTAATGAAATATAACAATCTCCTTTCAACAGAGACAGACATTTACAGGTGTAGATCTCTGCAAACACTGTTAGACATGGATGGTTATCGAGTTGATTGGATTTACGTAACTATTTTTCTTTGTTACAAGAGAAGATTTAAGTGCTGTTGGATGGGGGTGGTGTGTTATATCTGGATAGAACTGGAGAGGTAGGCAGCATGGTGTTGTGGATAGACTAGAGCCTAGACTTAGAGTCAGGAAGACTTGGCTTTGAATCCTGCCTCAGATACTGACTAGCTGTGTGGCTTTGTTCTGGATTTGAGTTTCTTTATCTTTAATAAAAAGAAATTGGACTCAATTAACTCTAAGGTCTCTTCCAGCTCTAAATCTGTGATTCTATGACTGCAGGATAAAACAAAATTCATCAATAAAACTTATTTTTTTTTAAAGGCAACAAACATTCTCCAATTCAAACAAAATGCATATGGTAATTGGCTTTAAAGGATGAGGTGCAGTTGAAATCACTGTTTTTGAGAAGGAATTTAATGACATTTTCATTAGCCCACTAAAAATCATTTAGTGCTTCTGTGGCAGGCCTGGTTTTCCTGGCTGGAAAGTGATAAATGGGAATGGCAACAGGCCCAGTTATCATGTAGCATTTTAATAGATGTTTTCCCCATAATCCTTTGCTTTAAACAGAGAATCATCGTGGAGCTGCTATTGCTGAAATTGTTATTCTGGCTACTTTTTAGCCTACGTCCAAAAGGACTCAGTCTCCTTGGGTATGGGAGCCAGGGTCTATAGATCATCTTGTCCAAACTCTTTATAAAGACCAGTCCCTAAAATAATGCAATGTTTTATTTTTCTTATTCTTTACATTGGTGTGAACTTGAATTTTTTCCCTTGTATTTGAGCTATCAAGCCTGAAGGTTTTTTAAATGAGTTTTTGCCTATTGTAAGCATGTTATCTTACGTAATCCATAAGCTATCTTTCATCTTGAAGTTAGATTTTACAGATTAGAAAGACCGTTTTGTTAGTAACTGTTATTTAATTTTTACACTTTCAGGTCTTGCCTTAAATTACATTTTTGAAAATAGTTTTAAACCAGAAGCAGGATCAAGAACTGGAGTATCCAAAATTGGCATCTTGATCACAGATGGAAAATCTCAAGATGACATAATCCCCCCATCAAGAACTCTACGTGATTCTGGGGTTGAACTCTTTGCAATTGGTAAGTATTGCCTTATTGCTCTATTTCAGCAGTAGCCAGTAGACAGAAAATTGTCTTTTTTCTGGATGTAGTGAAACAACCACTAGAATTCAACTCTGAAAATCTGGATTCTTTTTTTCTGACTCTGCTACCAACTTGCTGTGTAAGCCTATGACTTAACCTATTTTATCTCAGTTTCCCCACCTGTAAAAAGAAGGTAGTAACAGTATACCTCACAGGGTTGGTGGAAGGACAAGATGAGATCAAGTAGAAGTATTTGGAAAAGCATCAAGTGCTATGCAAATATGGCTATTGGTTTTAATCATCTTTTAATCAAATAGATCCTTTGTTTATGTAAGTCAGGTGGCCCTGTGGATAGAGCGCCAGACTTGACATCAGTAAGATCTGAGTTCCAATCCAGCCTCAGACATTTACTAGCTGTGTGACCCTGGGCAAATCACTTAACCTCTGTTTTCTCAAATGTGAAATAATGATAATAATAGCACTCACCTCACAGGGTTGTTGTAAGGATCAAAGGAGATAATTACTATTATTATTATTGTTATAAAGTGCTTCCTGTATGCCAGACACTTTCCAATTATTATCTCATTTGATTCTCACAACAACCCTGGGAGGTGGGTGCTATCATTATCCCTATTTTACTGATGAGGAAATGAAGACAAATAGAGGTCACACAACTGGTGAGTTTCTAAGGCTAGATTGGAACTCAGGTCTTGCTGACTCCAAGTGTGGCACACTATCCACTGTGCCACCTAGTTGTAATGTACTTTGCAAACCTTAAAGTGCTATATAAATGATAGCTATTACTATGATTATAATTATGAATGCCCTATCTGCATATTACCCATTTGCTGATAGAGATATTTGGAAGAAAATTAGGAAAAAAAAATTCCTAAGGAGAAATAGCTAGAGAGTCCTGGAAAGATTTCAGGGGATAGTGGCCAGCTTGATGAGGGGCACAAGAGACCATGCCTTAAGAATATTGGTTGATTTTCTTCTGGGGGTGGAGCCAAGATGGCGGAGGGAAAGCCGTGACTTGCTAGAGCTCTCCCCCAAACCCCTCCAAATACCCACAAAAAGTGGCTCTAGACAAATCCTAAAGCAGCAGAACCCACAAAAAAACAGAGTAAAACAAATTTCCAGCCCAAGACAACCTGGATGGCTGATCGGAAAGGTATATCACACCAGGCTGGGCGAGGAGCACAGTTCGGTGTGTGTGCGCAGGCCGCAGCGACCCTGGAGCAGGCCTCAGAGGACTGAATCACGGGCAGCTGTGGTGGTTTCCAGACTTCTCAACCCACGAACGCCAAAGACAACTTAGAAGGTCAGTGGGAAAAGTCTGTTACTGTGGTGAGAGAGAAGCTAGATCTCAGCCACCCCAAGGGCAGCAGCTGCCTTCTGAGCTTCTGGCCCACAGACTGAGGAGGAATCCAGTGGCTGATCAGAGGGGGAGTGCAGGGATCTCTTTGCCAGGGCTGAGGCAGGAATCTCTTGCTTTGCCCGTGCTTGGATCTGGGTCACAGTTCTGAGGGGCGGTCCTGGGGCGAGAAGGAGCACTGGCATGGTGGAGCTTGTTGTGGCAGTGGAGAGGAAACACCTCGCCCCTTAACATAGCACCTTGGAAGAACTGACACTTTTCAGGTCCCTAGAAGTATCTCTGAAAACAGCTGTACAAACCCCCGAAACTTGGGACAGTACATTCTCCACATTGGAAACAGACTCTTACCTTAACAAAGAGTTTAAAACTCAAGTAATTGGTTGGGATCATGAGCAAGCAGCGCAAAAAGAGTCAGACTGTATTATCTTACTTTGGTGTCAAAGAAGATCAAAACATACAACCAGAAGAAGAAAACAAAATCAAAGCTCCTACATCCAAAACCTCCAAGAAAAATATGAATCAGTCCCAGGCCTTGGAAGAGCTCAAAAGGGATTTTAAGAAGCAAGTAAGAGAAGTAGAGGAAAAACTGGGAAGAGAAATGAGAGTGATGCAAGAAAATCATGAAAAGAAAGTTAACAGCTTGCTAAAGGAGACCCAAAAAAGTACTGAAGAAAATAACACCTTAAAAAATAGCCTAACCCAAATGGAAAAAGAGGTCCAAAAAGCCAATGAAGAAAAGAATGCCTTAAAGAGCAAAATTGGCCAAATGGAAAAGGAAGTCCAAAAGATTACTGAAGAAAATACTTCCTTAAAAATTAGAATAGAGCAATTGGAAGCTAGTGACTTTATGAGAAATCAAGACATTGTAAAACAAATCCAAAAGAATGAAAAATTAGAAAACGATGTGAAATATCTCATTGGAAAAACAACTGACCTGGAAAATAGATCCAGGAGAGAGAACTTAAAAATTATTAGACTATCTGAAAGCCAAGATCAAAAAAAGAGCCTAGACATCATATTTCAAGAAAATTATCAAGGAAAACTGCCCTGATATTTTAGAACCAGAGGGCAAAATAGAAATTGAAAGAATCCACCGATCTCCTCCTGAAAGAGATCCCCAAAGGAAAACTCCTAGGAATGTTGTAGCCAAATTCCAGAGTTCCCAGGTCAAGGAGAAAATATTACAAGCAGCCAGAAAGAAACAATTCAAGTATTGTGGAAACACAATCAGGATAGCATAAGATTTAGCTGCTTCTACATTAAGGGACAGCAGGTCATGGAATATAATATTCCGGAGGGCAAAGGAGATAGGATTACAACCAAGAATCACCTACCCAGCAAAACTGAGTATAATTCTTCAGGGGAAAAAATGGTCATTCAGTGAAATAGAAGACTTTCAAGCATCCTTGATGAAAAGACCAGAGCTGAATAGAAAATTTGACTTTCCAATACAAGACTCAAGTGGAACATGAAGAGGTAAACAGGAAAGAGAAATCATAAGAGACTTATTAAGGTTGAACTGTTTACATTCCTGCATGGAAAGATGATATTTGTAACTCATGAGACCTTTGTCAGTATTAGGGTAGTTGGAGGGAAAAAATTATGTGTTTGGATAGATAGATAGATAGATAGATAGATAGATAGATAGATAGATAGAT